AGGTCGGGTGACGAGTGTTGCATTGTTATGGAGGTCACAACCGTCATTCTCAAGCCAAAGGGAAATTCAGTAGAGAGGTCTTGGTTGACAAGGAGAAACAAGAATAAAAATATGGGCGAACAACTACAAGAATTCTAGGAGAACATCGAGTACCTCACACCGACATCCTGTGTCTAGGAGTGGAGTCGCGGGTGTCTGGTCAGTGAGGTAAGGTCATTGGCGTCTAATGGTTCACTATTTGTATGCAGGAATCATGGCCGGTCTGAGCATGTTGCATGGTGTCTTTTGTCTCCTTGCTGGGAGCACCTCACATTGACTCCCTGGCGTTTGTTCGCTCCAGCGAGCAAACTGACCAACACGCACAACTCTCATCGTACACGCTTTTTTGGGAGCGGTAGGGTGATAAGTGGGCCCACCACATGGGAGAGGGCGGGGCAATTTAAATGTGAGGACGGGAGGTCTTGTTGTGGTATGCAGGCTCACATAATAATCTATAGGTAAAGCTTTTCTATAACGAACAAACCCACACGCCAGCCTCCTCCTCTCCTCTCTTTCTCCCCCCCCCCCGCCGCTCTCTCTCTCGTGACGCACGTTACCCCTTCCCCTCGACATCCACGCCGAGACTGCGCTTGAACCGCCCACGATTGAGCGGTGGATGATGCGTTGAGACAACCGTGTGGGCTCCTACTGTGTTTCTATCCATATCTGGAGTCCTAGGTGTGGGCGACCAACCGCATCTAGATTTGTAGTCACCGCAGTTGGGCAACCAACTACATCCAGATCTGGAGTCCTAGGTGTGGGCGACCAACCATTTTTTCCAGATCTGGAGCCAGCATGATGATTGGCGATGGAGGAAAGTGGCATACTATCTCTGATGGCAACGTCTTGCCACGACTGGCATCGGAGAATTTAGTTGTTGCCTCCACTTCGCCCTCCGCTATCAACATCGAAGAAGGTAAGGGAAGAACTCGCCCTATTTTTTCTAGAAAAATTAAGGTAAAAATTAGTTGATCTTCGAGTTGTGTTTATTTTACTTAATTGAGGGAAAACACTAGATTTGTATATTACCATAGACTGATTGCAATCATTAGACATGGGGGCATTAAGTATTGATGGGACACAAATTCCCTCAAAAAAGAAGTATTGATGGGACACTAGCCAACATCCCAAAGCCACCGTGGAGATTGGAATTCATGCTCCACATTGTTACCAGAAATAGCACAAATAGTGTTACACTCAGCGCCTTTATAAATTTACACAATTGTGTAGCCAGTGAGCCAGTAGCAACCTCCAACCAAAGACCTTAACCTTCTCTGGAACCTTATCTCTCCAAATCACATCCCGAATACTCCAATTATATGTCGCACTTGATGAGCTAGAAGCAGGGGATTTGTACCTGAATTTGAGTTGGGTGGCAAGTTTATAAGCACGTCATCCATTACATAGAAGGGTGATTTATGCGAAATATCTCCTCTACATCAAAAATCAGAAAATAGCCTAGGGACAAGATTAATATTCCATTCATTTTTTATCGAGACAATCAACTGGTTAACCCACCTCAACCTTGAGTTTCTAGCGAATTTGGCAACCTGAGGCCATACTGTCTCAGAATCCAGCTGTCTCTCTGAATCTGAATTTTTCGTCCATTCACTATACGCCAGATGATGCCTTCCTTGAGTATCTTAACTCCAAGCCGGCGATGCATACGAGGAAATGACTATGTCCAGAATATCCCACAAGGATAATATTCTGATTTCAAGACTCTGGAACAAAACTATCCGGCTTGTGAACCAGTCTCCACCCTTGCCTTGCCAGGAGAGCTTGGTTAAACATATGCATATCCCAGAATCCTAGAACACCTCCTCTCTTTTGTTTTATAAGTTGGTACCAGGAGAGCCAAATGGCATTGTGATGTCCTTACTCATCGCCCCACCTAAAGTCCCAGATAAAATTTTCATACTTATCACAAAAGCCCAAGGACATTTGAACAATCCAAAGAAGTAATTGGGAAGCGCTTGAACCACTTACTTGATTAAGACCACTTTGGCTGCACAGGTCATATACTTTTCAATCCAGTCCTTGCACATTTTTGTGAACCTTTCCATGATCGACTAAAATTCGAGGCAAACATCCTACCTTCTAGGGTTAGTAAACCCAAATATTTACTCTCGAAAGTGGAAGCCACAACACCAAGGGTGACCTTTATCTCTTACTGGACATGGGCGAGCAATGTTCACTAAGTAATAAAGAGCATTTAGCCGGGCTAAGAGGCTATCATGTACACCTTTGAAATAGATTTGGAGTTTCCTTCACTACCCTCACCTCTCTTCCTACGGCCTTGAAGAACAAAAGGCTGTCATCAACAAACATTAGTTTAGAGACACCGAGGCTTCCCCAACAGTTTTGATAGGCATTAACCTCCCTTCCAAGACCTGCTTTCTTAAGATGCTTTCCCGACCATCCGCAACCAATAATATGGTGCATTCTGTATGTGACTACAATATTCCTTCTCAGCCAGTGAGTACTGCTTATCATGGACCCAAAATCTTTCATGTCCAGGACCAAACATCCTATTTCAGCACTCCCAGCTTAGTGCAGTCATCGACCAGGGATTTCAGTAGTTCCCTTCGGCGACGGTACTCTTTCCCATATCTACTCATACCAGAAGGATTTCACGTTGCTATGCACCTTGGTCTATCTCTGTATTGCAGCCATAGAGGAAAGTGGTTGGAGCATATGTACGTACCATTGTTCACTCTGAATAAATCACACCAACCCGATGATGCAACTGCACTTTCAACCCGATGGTCACATTGCTTTTACCATACTGTTATTATTGTATGTCCAGGATGGCCCCTTATAGCCCCAATAATCTAAACGATAATTGTATGTCCAGGATGGCAATCTTTTTATTTTAGTTCATTTATCTCACAACAACGCAACACACCCTTGCCCTTACCATCTTGCACAATACAATTCTGGCGACCTAGCATCCAACTAAGATTATTGAAACTCCTTTCACATTGCTGAGTTTCAGAATGTAAAACCATCATCAAGTGGTATATGCGTGCACGAGGCAAACTAGCTCTTCAACTATCCGAGACTGCCCAAGGCCCCAACTATTCTAGATCAGGCGACTCATTTCTCCTGATAGGTGCCTTCCTTATCACATGTCATTCATCGGCAACCAATGGGCCGATAGCTTCCTTACCGCCTAACACACCTATGTTGCTCATGCCACCTCCATTACCCTCACCTCATGCCTTCTTGTTCAGACCAGGACCCTTGTAACTAGGTGTCGCCACAAACTCAGTACAAGACTCACTGTCACGTCCCATGCATTTACCCAACACCGCCCCGGTGTTCACCAGGGATTGATCAACTTACTACCCTGGCTTACCCTTGTGTCTATTCTTATCTTTGTGGTGCTTGGCTTTCATGTTACTGGCTCCAGGGGTAGGGGAGGAGCCTTGTTGAGGTTAACTTCGCCCACTTCATTTTCCTTGCTGCTGCCGGACTCACGAAGGAGGCCTGGCCTTGAATCACCTCCGCCCTCCGGGTTCAGCCCCGACAAGGGAAGGAACCAAGTTGATGTCGAGTTCTACCCCCTTGCTCTGAGTTGTACATACAAGCAGCTTTGGAGTGATTGCCGGTATCGTGGACGAGACCTTCCCCACCTCCTACTGGAGTTGGGAACCCATGACAGCCATTGGTGGTGCAGTGGCCGACGCTAGTGTTAGCATAATCTTGATTGTTTTGTTTGGAACATGATGTAGTTGGTGCTTGCATGTCACGTGGCTTTATTTCTTTGGGAACTAACCAGAGTCATGTACATGTACTAGTAGGAGTTCACGTGTTTGCGTCAAGCTTGAGTCCAAATATGTAGTATACAATGTGATCTTGGTTAAGTCAATTTCCATGTAGGACATGGTCTCATGGGTTGGCCGAGTATATATATTTGCTGACCGGTGCCACGGTCCACAATCAGACAGAGTTCTCAACTGCGCAAGGCTGCCCCGGATCATCTTCCTTGGCCCGTCATAACCCCCACTGTGGGAAACCTCCACGCGCTCATCGCACTTTTGTTCTTGTTAGCCTGACTCTGCCATGGATGATTTGGGGATCTGAGTGTATGTGTTGTTGGTGGATGTGCGATCCTGTTGTCTTTATACTATATGAAGATATGAAATAGTTCAAGGGTTTACCACTATCAGTGTAGAACAATATTAGAATTTCAATATTGTTTGCACTTTTTAATTTCAAATGTTGATGAAATTTATCGCGTATCTGTGGGCCCGGAATCAAGGTGGAGACAAGAGCCAAACCTGTTGCGCAACACATATAAATAACATTTGGTGGAAAGAAAAATACAGAACTTGCGTTTTCTTTTCAACTGTTGATGAATTTTATCATGATCGAATTTTCTTGAGGCAGATGCACATTTCGATGGCAATACTGTAGTCTTTGCTCTACTGTGTATTATGTTTATAGTTTCTACAAACATTTTTATTGTGTTTGTATAATTATCATAGCTGTAGCAGTACCAATTTAATTAAAATAGTGATAGCAATTTATATTATATAGTTAACTCAGGTCCATTGCTAAAATTGTTGTCCTTTCATGATCCTTAATGTAGAATTTGAAGCTGATATCATGCAAAACATCAACCGGAGCTCCGACACCCCCATCTCCGTGCACCGTGTCATGTTTGGACCCAAAGGCTGGGCGGACCTACCACATGGATTATTGCACTCCATTATTGTCATGTTGGGTTCAACTCGTGACCTTCTTGCATTCATCGCCACCTGCCCTAGCTGGTATGCCGCATTCATGTCAATCAAATCTACCTCAGGCGAGCTCTTCCACCTGTTATTTTCCGGAACTGTGCCAACCAGACAAGCTCAGCTGGCTCTAACATTGGAAACACATGGGAGCTCATTGATCCTGTATATCCAAGTACTCCGTTGTGTCGCTTGACCCCTCCAGGTATTTTGGACAAAATGGCAGTCGTCAAATGTTCTTATGGTCATGCTATTTTCTGCTACGAGAGATCCCTTGTCATTATGGACGTGCTCACTGGCACTACGGTTGCAGCTCCACCTTTTCCATTGAGTCAACTGTGCTACAGAACCTTCATATCTCCAGAGGCGTCACCAAATTCATATCTATTTGTCAGCAGCCCGCACTGCCTGTATGCTTGGCGAGTTGGGAGCCCCTCTTGGTTGCACTGCGATTCTCTAAATGCACATTTGATCAAGGAGATGGTGTCCTTCAAAGGTAGGGTCATTATGAGGATGCGTCAAAAACTATACACCGTGCATTTGACACCTCAGTTTCATGTTGAGCTACTAAGACTTGATTGCAGAGATTATATGGACCTGTACGTGCTTTCCGGAAATTTGGTGGCTTGTGAAGACACACTTCTCCTACTTGGTCGTAACGGGGAAGTCTTCTCCATTGACTTCTCAACTGAACCTGCAAAGTATGTGATCGTGGAAGAGGGAGGCTTGAAGAAGTGGGCGTTCTTCTTGGGCGAGAAACGTACTGGACAGCCACGACTCTTAGTGAACCCAGAGAGAATGGGTTTAAGGGGTGGCCTTGTCTATCAGTTGGATGAAAACGCTCGAGTATGTTCATACCCAGTAGATGGCAACCAACATGAGGAGTTGGAGCCAGAACCTTGTTTTGCGACGATCAATGCTCATCTTGCTTGCAATCCTACATCCTTTGCAGCTTGGATATGAGAACGTGTCGTTGTACCGTGCAGTTGTCTTGTTGTCGTTGGCTGCACTTGGGGACTTTTTTGTCGCTATGTTCCTTCTAGTTTCCGCTCCTTTGACGGAGTACATCAAGATTTGTAATAATCCTTTCAAAAAAGATTTGTAATAATCTCTGTTTGCCACCCAGTGTACATTCCTGAAGGCGAAACTTGTGCTACATGTTGCTGTTTTAGCTGAACCTTGTTAATTACTCCCGTTTTGCATACAAGAGATAAGGGTTTGCATCTTGAAACAATACTAGCTTCTTGAGTCTTCATATCACTCTTCAGCATTTTTTGTGTACACCATGTCAGATGTGCCTGGGCTTTTATTTTAGTTATGTGCTTTGTTTGGTCCATACGTCTATTTGTAGCTTGATCTCCTTTTAAACAGAGACAATCAAATGCACACAGAGCTGTTTGTTGAAGCTATGTTTGTCGAACACTCTGTCTGCCTAATTTTTGTTGGTGCAAAATGTAAACTTTGTGATGAATGCATATATGCTGCTTATATGTTTGTTGGCTGAACTTGCAGTCTATATTAACCTGATGTCTATGGACTTGCATCCTCACTTTAATTCTTGGTGACCTTGCAACTCTCCAGCCCAAAATTGTAGCTCTGCCAAGCTATGTTATCAATATTCACATTTCCACCCAATGAGATAGTCATATGCTCAAGCACATCACGTGAATAATCAACAACCATAGTACAATTACTCTTAGCTTTTTTTTTTGAGACAAGTTACTCTTAGCTATCAAGTGCCCAGGTACAAGAAAACTCCACAATCTGTAATAAATGAGAAATAAAACGTATGGGTCCCTTGTAATTGCCGCAGAAAAAAAGAGGAAAGTACATAATCTGATAACTTAATCTACACTTCTGTTTGTAATGCAAGTTTTGAAACACGTCAAGAACATTCAGTGAATTACTCATCTTGCTACTGCAACACAGTAGAATCCTCCCACCAAAGCTGTATCAGAAGCTAATCATCAACCGCACTCACGGCCGTAAGATCATCGCAGGATGTAACAAGGAAACGCGCGGGGAAGACCCAGGTTGACTCCAATTTCAGGTAACGTCTTCCAGTGTTGAAGAGCCGTGTCGAATGGTAATAACATTTTTTCCATAGTTGAACTGCAGCCCAAGGTTTTTCAGACTGATAAGTTGGGAAGTATATGTGGTTGCTCCTCCCTCCCCATCCCTCCGGGTTTATGCACGGCAACGCCTTGCACCGCTCGTCAATGCTGATAAAGATGGCCCAGTTATCTAACTTGTTCACCTTCACCCACCTTGCCTTCTTGGTCATGGTGTCCAATGGCTCAAGCTTGAAGGCCTGAACTGGAAGGCCTCCGAGCGCATCCGTCTTCCCGCCTCCACAAGTTTGATCAAGAGAAGCGCATCACCACACACCACTAGCCATGCTTTTTCATTTGCCGAATAGAGATCTTCGGTTTTATCTTCCTCGAACACAACTTTAAACTTCTCAACAATGAGACTGGGTGACAAGTGAATGATGTAGAACCACCCGAAAGACCCTAGGGCATGTGTCTTGCCCTTGAAGGCCACATTTTGTTCAATAAAAAATGACCAACTTTAGGACTGTGTTTTGTCCAAGAATCGCTCCCGATGCGCCACAGGAACAGATAGGCTCCAGCACCGACAAGGAGATGCGAGTCAGCAGATGCAACAGGGGCAGTTAAGGTGACATAGCTGATGCAAGTGAACTGAATTGACTGTAGGGAAGGAGGGCCAAGCTTAGCGCCACAGAATGGATTAACAATATGGAACCCATTGTTGTCATAGAAGATGAGCTGACCGTAGGAGTAGCGCAGAAAGGTCATGCTTCTGAGGTCACTCAAGGAGAGAAAACTGCGAGAGGATGAGGTGGCAGCAGGGTCACCCAATCTCCATGTGCATTTGTGGAATAAGGTCCAACAGTTATGCGAGAGAGCCTGTCCACCGTCAGTACGGAGGTTGGGGTGGAGGAGCAGAGGCTGGACAGAGGACCTGTGTGCTGAGAGGAGATCACACCAATGACGACAAGTGGTACCGAAGGCGAGGAGGTCACGGAGCGACAACGGGTCGGAGCAGGTCGTCCGGGAGCTCTGCCCATCCTTGTGGCCGAGACGAAGCAAAGAGTGAGGAGACAGAAGCAGAACATGTCCTGTTGGCCATTTTTTGCACGATGGCGCTCTCCCTGTTCGACACAAAATTCAAGAAAAAGGTTAGGCATGTGAAACAAGGTATGAAGGCACTGGATATAAATTTTATGCGGAAGTTATATGCATATATACACGCTAGATGGACAGCTTGTTGAAGTTTTTTGTAGATCTTTGTTCATACAGATTACACACCAAAATCGCCTAGTATTTCTCAAACAAATACTGTATCTGGTAAGTGTCCATGCTGACAGAAAAATAAAAGCAGAGCACATATGAATTTCAGAGCATATTGAGAATCGGTGACCGACACCCTCTATTATTATCTGCAATGTTGGAGATCTAAAGAGGGAAAGTCTCAATCTGGATTGCTTTTCTTCTTCGAGACTAAGCAGAAAGAATCCATCTATGCCTTAATCCCTACTTGCAGATGTAGGCGGATCTGATGCAACATCCGCAGGTGAAGAGAAACAGGATGGGACGCAGAAAGAAGAGGCGTACAGGACGAGGTAGGGGACGGGGGTATTACGTGAGCGAGGAGGATGAGGACGAGGAAGCAGCGGCCGCCGGCACCGAGGAAGAAGGATGCGGGTCGATCTCCCGCGGCTGCGCCTCCATGTGCGCCGCCGATTCTTCCAGCTCTCGGATGAGCAGCGCAGCCTTCAGAGCTCTCGGATAACGCCGGCCCGCCCTAGTCCAGGGATAATGGGCCGAACATGGGTAAGACCGTAATAGCATCTCCGGTTCGGACCCCGAGGGGCTTGAGATAGCACCGATGACCCGGGCGCATCCTCGTCATCGCTGTCGAGGACGACCACACCGCCCTCCTCGCGTCCGCGGCACCGAGCGGCGATCTCCTCGATGGCCCGGCACTGGCGCTCCATCTGCTTGCGGACGTAGTCCGCCTTCACCCACTTGAGGGCGGTCTCGTAGGCGGCGGGCATGGCCTCGTGCTCCTTCTTCACGGGGAGCAAACCTGGCTCGGTCTTCGGCCGGACGAGGCGGTAGGAAGGAGAGGGGCGGCCGCCCTCGTTGATGACAAGGGCGCCGCGCATGCGACGCCCTAGTGGCGTCTCCTGCAGCTCCGGCTTGACGGGCCGAAGTGTCGGCGAGCTGGAGGACAGAGAGCCAGAGCCCGACGATGATGATGTCGCCGTCTCCATTCACCGTGGCATCCAGGAGCTGTCGCGGCGGCGAGAGAAGGAGGGGGCGCCGGGTACCCCAGGCCTCAATGTGCTCAAGGACAGCCTCGAGGGTTCGGCCTGGGACGCCCCACCATCGGCGCCTCCCCTCGGAGTTGTGGCGGCCGCGGGGCTCGACGCCGTTGGTGGCGGCAATCTGCTCCTCGTGGCGCCGCTCAAAGTACACCGTCCACAGCGTGTTGCTGTCGGGGTCGTACCTTGGCTGATTCCGCTGTGGCTCCGGCAGCGATGACCGGATTTTGGCTCGCCGGGCCGCTCCGGTTGGCGCAGGCGGCACCGGGACGCCGCCAGCACTGAGCCTCCAGGCGCCCGGCACCCGCATGTTTGGGGGCACTGGGTAGTTGGCCTCGTAGAGGAGGCACGCCTCAACCTCATGCAGATGGCGGCGACCGAAGCCGTTCGCCGCTGCGTCGTCGCCTGGGAAGCGCTCGACCATTGACGTTGGCGTGGGAGAGAGTGGGTGAGAGAGGCATCGGCGGCGAGAGGTAGAGAGAAGGGCGTCGGTGGCGAGAGTTTGTGCGTTCACCAGCGAGGGAAGAAGGCTTATAGCTGCAGATGGGCGGTGGGAGAGCTGCCACCGTGTGCCGCGTGGCGGGAGGGGACGCGTGTTGCCATGCCTTCACTGCGCCGCCCGTAAGGCATCAGTGGAAGGCTGACCGGCGTGGCGGCCTTGGCATCGGTTCCCGTGGGAACCGAAGCGATGAGGACGACGAAGGCGGCGATTCACTGACTTGGAGGACCCACTTCTTTTAACGCAAAAAATGTTTCCCCCGTTGCCCCCGGACGCCCCCCAGTGCGCCGGGTTCGGCCTGGGTCCGCCGACGCCAAAATCGGCCCTAACCAGTGAAAATTGGGCTTATGTGGGTGCGACTGGGCTGAATTTTCTCCACCGGCGACAAAAAAGGGCCTTGGGGGGCATGTTGGGGCGCGGCTGGAGATGCTCTAAGACCTGCTCTATGGCTGTGTGTTTTAAGGCCTACTCCAACAGTTGTTGGACGACCCCAAACAGACGTCTGTTTTATCTGGATTCTGTCCGTTTGGGTCGGCAAAGTGGCCACAAGCGTCCATTTGCGGTCGTCCGCCGGTTGTCGCACCCGACCGGCCGTCACATTTGGTGAAAGCATTCAGATTTAAACTACAATTCAAACAAAAAAGGAGATAAAAAATAATCTAAACAATAATTATATATTACATTAACGTCCAAAAGTCATGGCCGAACTATTCATCATGCATCAACTTAAACTCAAAATTATTATAAAAAAGAACAAGACGTCGTCGCCGTCTTCACTGCATGGCGTCGCCACCGTCTTGGTTGCCCTATTCCTCGTCTGCGCTGAGGTTGGCGAAGGGAGGCGACTGCCATAGGTGAGCTGGTGGCGACTAAGGCGGTTGCACAGCAGGGGGCGGCGGTGGCACGTGGAGCGGTGATCATGTGTCGGTGCCAACCAACAAGTGTGGCGCAGACACGAACTCCGACGTGCACGATAGGGTCGAAGTTCACGACCAGGACTGGCCCACCACTGTCGGGTTCCACCAGGGTTCCGAGTCGTCTGCCTCCTCCAGCTCGGGGATAATGACATCCCCAACGGACGAAAGCGCGATCTGCACCTCC